CTTAAAACTCTAGGGTAGTTACTAAAGTTTCTTGCCCAATTGCCTTTGTGACTATATAAACGTCCCTTTGATTGTCCCTCAAACATCCAACGACTAGGGCTACCTACTCACTAATAGTAGGATAACATTGTCTAAAGGAGAAGAGGAAAAGAACAACCTTTCGAGTAAAATAGATAGTTGTTAGATGCTTGCTTAACAATTTTTACACTTACACCGAAAGCTTCTTTCAAAAACATTTTTAAAACACTTTGTATACGTTCTCTACCATTCCGAGAAACATTACAAAGTTCGTTGTACTAAGGCGCTTTCAAAATTACTTTTCAAAACACACAAAGCACAAGGTATTTCGAAATGAGCTAAGCATCTAAGAGTCTGTAGATAACTACGGATGGAAAGGGCGCTAACACCTTCCCTTTCCATAATCTACCCCCTTACTCAGAAAATATCTCGAAAGGTCTTTTTTTGTTCTTTTCACCCTTTCCTTTGTTGGATAAAAGAAAAGTCGGTGGCGACTCTTGCTTACTGCAACATTTGCGAATACAAATGCAAAACCAGTATAACAGTCGGTTCTTCCACCTTATCACACATGTTATAAATGCCAAATCTATGCTAACAAAATGCACGCACCACCAACTCCTGTGAATGTCCTAAGTTCACCTTGGCCATTCTCGATGTGGGGAATTGATATGATATGAATGATCGAACTAAAGGCTTCTAATAGACATCGATTCATACTAGCTGCCATTGATTATTTTACCAAGTGGATAGAAGTTGTGTCCTACGCGAATGTGACAAGACAAGTGGTTACTTGGTTTATCAAGCATAATCTTATATGCGGATATGGGGTTCCTAGCAGAATTATCATAGACAATGGGTCTAACTTGAACAACAAATTGATGAAGGAATTATGCGATGATTTCAAGATCGAGCATCATAACTCATCGCCTTATCGACCCAAGATGAATGGGTCCGTTGAAGCTGCCAATAAAAATATCAAAAAGATCATTCAGAAAATGGTGAAGACATATAAAAATTGGCACAAAATGCTTCCCTTCACTTTACATGGCTATCGTACTTTTGTACGTATGTCAACATGAGAAACTCCTTTCTCTCTCGTATATGGCATGGAGGCAGTCTTCCCTTTTGAAGTGGAAATTCCCTCACTACGAGTTTTAATGGAAACAAATCTTGAAAAAGCATAGTGGGTTCAGGCACGACTTGATCAACTCAACCTTATTGAAGAAAAAATCTTAACAGCTATGTGCCACGGTCAGTTGTACCAAAAGCGGGTGAAGAAGGCATTCAATAAAAAGGCCCGTCCTCGAGTGTTCAAAGAAGGGGATTTGGTTCTCAAGAAGACTTTGATACCTCGCCTAGATTCACGTGGTAAATGGACACCCAACTACGAAGGTTCATATATGGTTAAAACAACATTCTCAGGTGGAGGTCTTATCCTTACAACAATGGATGGGGAAGAACTACCACATTCGACAAATATCGATGTAGTAAAAAAATACTACGTATAAAAGGTCCGCTAGGTTGAAACCCTAAACGGACGACTTAGGAAAAAAGGGGCGTCCCGATGGATTGAAACCCTAAAGGGCTATCCAGGAAAAAATTAGGGACATATAAACAAAAATCATTATCCCGGAGGATTGAAAACTCGAAAGGGCGGTCCAGGAAAAAGTTAGGGATCTTATCCAAAAAATGAACAAATAGACTGCGATCTAAGAACCACAACCACGACTACAAAGGAGAAGGAGAAGGATTAATCCAAATCATATGACTCACAAGCAAACAAGATAGAAGTTATCAAAAGGACATTGGAGAAATAATAGTAACAATTATCAATTTCATTGCCATTTTCAAATCTTGTTAAAATTTTCTGTAATTACCTCTTTCAAGGAATTTCATCTTGTACTCTCGCCTATTAAAAGGCATTTTTATCAATAAAACAAAATTACTTTTCTATCTTTCAATTGTGTTTTTCCTTTTCGGACTTGTTTGCAAAGTACTACGATTATTTCTTGTAAATACTACGACGAAATCATTTTGGGGATTTGACAAACGAGTAAAATCATTTGATAAAACATCAAAGAGCATTTTGGTTAGAAAAATGTCAAAAGAAAATCCACGCCTGCGATACAGTTATCAATATCTTGCTGACACTATTCACCATATGATACAACGAGATTCAAATCAACTTGGAGATACTACGACAAAGCAACATACAACGTTGGGGATTAGATGACTTAGAAAAACGCCAATGGTTTAAAAAGAGAAAAATATCAACACAAAAACGTTTACAAAACACTTGGTACATGTATATACAAAACAATTGGTGCATATACAAAGTAATATATTTTGGGTATCATATTAATTTCGGGCATTGTGCGTATGCATGTGCATTGCATTTACAAATCTACTTTGGTCAAGAATTTTGTGAACTATCTTGGGGCCTATTACTAGATAGCTTATCTGCACGAACTGAATAGTTCAAGCCTTAAGCATATTCAACAAATACCTTATTTGAGAATAGACACAACTGGTATATCTATGATTTACATCTTCGATTAAGTTATCTAAGATTTAGTTTTCAAACTCAAAACCATATTATCTATCCCCTAGGTTGTGATAGGTATACTAATCTACGATATAATTCATTGCGGTAGCCTCAAAGCAACAATGAATTATCAACTTTATTTATCCCCTAGGTTGTGATAAATATACAACATCTGCAATATAGTCTAATACATCAGTCTCTCAGCAGTAATAGACTATCTAAAGTTCGTACTACCTATCCCCTAGGTTGTAATAGGTATACAAACATCTAGGATATGACTTAGTGCGCTCGTCTCCTATCAACAATAGGTTATTTATTCAGAACTCGCGTTAGCTACCCCCTAGGTTGTGGTATGTATGTGATAATTTGCGATATAATTCATTGTGTTAGTCTCTAAGCGACAATGAATTATCAAGTCTGTGTTATTTATCCTCTAGGTCATGATAAGTACACAAATCTGTGATATAGCTCGTTGCATTAGTCTCCAAGCGGCAATAAGTTATCTGTTTTCTGCAATATAATTCGTTGTGTTAGTCTCCAAGCGATAATGGATTATCAACTTTGTATTATTCATCCCCTAGACTGTGATGAATAGATGAATTCTACATTGTAAGCTTACTATGTTAGTCTCCAAGGGTTAGTAGATCAACTTACAAATGGTGTTATTTACCCTCTAGGTCGTGGTAAATATATTCTAATTGCGATATAACTTGGTGTATCAGTCCCAAAGCAGAAATAAGCTATATATTTTTCAAATTTGTGTCATTTACCTCCTAGGTTATGGTAAATATGAAAAATCAATAGCTTTTTCTAGGTGTTTACGAGTTATCTGCATCGGCGTATCTAGGTTAATTTTACTCGGGCATTGGTGAGTTAACTGCGTCATCCTTGCCTATTTCTTTTTTACTCCTGGATATACTTTACAATTTATCCTTGTCTTATTATCTTTTGGTCAAATTTTGAGGTCTTCCATTATTTAATAACCCTCCTATTTGAATGTGTGATACCTTCGTATTCTCACACCCTTTAATCGAAGAGCAATTAAATAGGGACTGCTGTCATATCCCAAATTTCCCCTACTAATGTTAATGACCACTTTGTGTTTGAAATCATTTGCTCCATTATTTTTGGATGGTATTATACTATAGTTTAGAATTATAATTTTAATTTATATTATATTATATTATTTTTGTTTAGACATAGTATTATACTATAGTTTAGAATTATAATTTTAATTTATATTATATTATATTATTTTTGTTTAGACATATTGAGGGTTCAAATAATAGGGAGGAGGTATATGTTTAATTAAGAGGCTTATTATTTCTATAATCAGATTGGCCCATTAGATCTTGAAGCCCACTAGATCATTAGGGTTGACCAGAGTCAACTCCTGACTGCTGGTTATTTAATTATTTTTATTGTTTTTTATTCAATCACTTTTATTATTTATTTTTTTGTTTTTTAATTATTCTTATTATTCAGAAAAGGTTGACCGAAGTCAACGTTCAAGTTTTCTTGTAAATTGTTGTTATATTTTTATTATTGTTAATATATATATATATATAATATATATATATATATATATATATATATATATATATATATATATATATATATATATATATATATATATATATATATATATATATATAATATATATATATATATATATATATATATATATATATATATATATATATATATATATATATATATATATATATATATATATATATATATATATATATATATATATATATATATATATATATATATATATATATATATATATATATATATAGTTATGTTTTTACTATTATTATTTTTATTATCATTGTCAATATTACTATTAGTATTATTATTATCAAATTATTATTATTATATTTTATTGGTTTAATTGATCGAAAGTCAAACTAAGGGTTTCTAACTCTAATCTTAACGGCGACATCTCTTCTGTCTTCATCTCTAAGGAAATACAAAGCCCAGTACAACAAAAACCCAGAAAATCCAGATAAAGAGATATTGTTGAGATTCAAAAAATTATAGAATCAAATATTATCAAAATCAAATCTTGTTGATTAAAGTACAAAAGCGTCCAAATATAATAATCAAACGCAACGAAAATCTTAATCAAATTTGTAAATCAAAAATAATTTACAAGATCCTAAATCTAAATCTAATCTAACCTATTTTCTTCAATCTTTTCTCAATCAACAAATTATAACCGTAAATCATACAAATTTTTTCCCAATCTGACTCTAAACTAAGCCTATAAAAACCCTTAGTTTCTAACTGAAAGGGGACCAAAAACTAAGAAGGAGAAGAAGAGAGATCTGATGACTTGGTGAGTTGAGTCTTCGAATCAGATTTTCCTTTGTTGGGATATGGGTTTCAAAACAGAAACCCTAGATCCATAGAACCGTCGCCGCGTCCATCATCGCCATCCTTGTATCTGCAAAACAAAAAGAAAGAGGTTAGGAATCAGAACCAGCAGAATCAAAGAACAAACACGAAGTCTCGATGTTAAAGGTAATACGCAACTCATAAATTCATGTATCGTTGTTTGTTGTTGTTGTTTTGGGCCGATTAGGGTTTTTTCTGGGTTTAAGTGTTGTTGTTGTTGTTGGGTCGAAGGAGGAAGAAGGGAGAAGAAGGCAAGAGAGATGAAGAAGAGGGAGAATAAGTGAGGGAGACGAGAGAACAACGAATGGAATAAAGGGTAAGAAAAATGAATGAATGAAAATGGAAAGAGAAAATAAAAATATACTCTCGCGTGTGATGTTACATGATCGCGACACATGGCCGTTTACTGGCCACGTGATAGGATGATGTACAAATAATCCTGCCATGCGCCTACGATGCTCCTTCAGTCAAATGCACATCTCGACCCTCCATTTCTTTTTACTTTGATCAGACGCGCCAGTTGGCTTCAGTGTACCATAGCTATATGCACCTTCCTGTACCTAATCTGAACGGATCAATGTATTTACGCTTAGGCCTAAGCCCGTTTATAATCACGCCCCCAACTGGTTTTCTTTTGCTTCTATAACTACCATCCCTACCCCCCTCACATTTTGGACCTAGAACTAAGATCTAGGCTCAAGCCCTTATTATTGGCACCACCAGGAATTACTACCCAGCTCAATAATACACCCCCCTGCGAAATTAATTAAATATTTTCTTTTTGTTTTTTATTGTTAATTTATTTAATTATCTTATTTATTTACATATTTAGTTACTAATCATCTTACGTAATCATTTTATTATTCCTTGCATTAAAATATATTTTTTGCATAATTTTTTTAATAAATAAATATTAGATTTTTATTAAAAATATTTAATATATTTTTAATAATAAGAAAATAATTATTTTTTAACTAATTATTTTCTAAAACACTAACCATTTTTTTATACTTTTTTATCAAACTTTTTATCATTCAAACATATTTTTTAGCATACATCTAAGACAACTAACCAATCAAATATTAGCTTTTTTCTTTCTTCTGACTTATTTCAAATTCAAGATATTTTTAAAAAGAATTGTGGATATCTTTTATATTAACTGCAAACTCCGTCTACGACTACGCCAATTTCAAACATAGACTTGGTTCAAGGATTAATTCAAAAGATTTCCACAATCCAAAAATAAAAACTAACCAAACACCTTCAATTACGAAATTAAACTCTGATTCTCCCGATCTACCCTAGACCTGATATTGGAGCCCCTTGAGAACAAGGAAGATGAATGGTGTCTAACACCTTCCATTTGTCTAATCAACCCACGAACGTAGAACCTCTAATAAATTAGGATTTTCTATGTGTAATTAAAATAATGTAAAATCCAACAAAAATTAGGGTTGTGCCACATCAGCGACAGTTAATGTCAAATGAATATAAAACTAGCAATATTCAAAAAGTCAATTTTAACCCTTGTAGTTAGATTAGATAATGCTTTTAATCAGAGGGGTTAGTGTGTAATTTCTAGGTACATTTATTTATAATAGACTTATAATAGATTTTTTTTTTATCATTTATAACTTATATATTGAATTTTGATGAAGTGTTAAAACTTGCTATGTTTTTTATTATTGCTATTTTTTTTTTCGAATTTTTTTGAAATATTTAAGGTTTTTACAAAACATTGTTATATATATATATATATATATATATATATATATATATATATATATATATATATATATATATATATATATATATATATATATATATATATATATATATATATATATATATATATATATATATATATATATATATATATATATATATATATATATATATATATATATATATATATATATATATATATATATATATATATATATATATATATATATATATATATATTATTTTTTTATTATTAACTTTTATTCTAATTTCAAATTATTTTTTACCATAGTTATTTGATTTATACTAGTACCCGCGCAGACTACAGATATTCCTTTAGTTTACATCAATGTTTTTTAAATCGGATTAAATTAGTCGGTTGGATCAATTTAACCGCAAAAACTAAAATAATCATAAAATTGGGATCAGTTTTAGTGAACGAGACGGTTCAAAAAATCAAATTATTTTATTTATGTTTAAATCTAAAAAATTAAAAATTAGTTATAGCTAAAAAATAATGAATAAAATTCCTAGGATTAGGAAACTTTGATCTGAACTGGTTTAAACTCCTAATCTTATTATTAGGGACCAATTCAGGGAGAATCAACTGTATAAGGTGCCAGCAGCAAAATTCTTGAGAGCGATGACATGGGGACGAGGACGGCTGCCAAAGAAGAAGGTTTTCACGTCACCGAGGAGTCGTGTGGGTACTTCACCAACTAACAATGGTGAAACGCCACCAGAGAGAGAAGAGGCATCATTGGAGAAGAATGATGAAGAGATCCCAAGTGAAACCCTAATTGATATGGAAGACGGAGAAGCGAACAAAATGAAGGAGACAGAGCATAATTAGGTGACTAAGCTCTGGACTGATATGATAAGAGGAAATAGGGTCATGGAGAATGGAATGCAGCTCAGTTACGTGGCCTCGAAAGTGGTAGATGGAGGTTATGAGGTAGAAATTGAAGATGAAGACATGGAGGAGGAACTCAAATACTGGGAGTCGGCTCTAATAATGTACGTGATAGGAGGTGAGTTGAGCATGAATGCCGTGAAAAACTTTATGATTAAGTTCTGGAATTTTGTTCAGTTGCCGGAGGTATATTACAATGATGAAGGCTACTTCATCCTTCGGTTCAAAGCTATGAGGGACAAGGAGGAGGTGCTAAAGAGATGGCCATACACGATCCAACACATGACAATGTTCTTAATTGAGTGGAAAGAAGACGTTTCCATGAAAAAGGACATGTTGCGCACCCTCCCCATTTGGATCAAACTCCCACAACTGCCAATTCAATTTTGGGGTAAGAAAAGTCTTGCAAAGATTGGTAGCATAATAGGAAAATCGATGTTTATGGATGAATGCACGACGAACAAGCTTAGAGGCAGCTATGCTGACATTCTTGTGGAAGTGGATATAACTCAAAAAATGGTTGATGTCATCACCATTAACAAAAAAGGGCAGAGGAGACAACAGAAAATGAGTACGAATGGAAACCTCTGTTTTGTGAAAGGTGTCAAAAGATTGGCCATATATGCACCAATTTTGACAACACAAAACAGGGGCAAAGGAAACAATGAAGTATTAAGTCATATGAAGCTGATGTTCCCAAGGAAACAAATGAACCTAATAGTGAAGAGTGTGATATTCCTGAAGCTAGTCACATAAGTAAGTGGAATGATGTGAACAAGAGGGGAATATGCAAAAAGAGAAACAACACCCATGTGATAACAATGCATTGTGAGAATGGATAGCCTTAGAGATTGGGAATGATCATCTAGGGCATGTGGATAACACATGATAATATCCTAGAATTTAAGGGGGTTAAATAAGGCTAGCAAAATCAGAGAAGTTAACTCCCTCCTCTTGTTGTTGAAGCCTCATATTGTAGTTATGTTAGAAACTAGAGTGAAGAGTAACAAGGCTGGTAATGTTAGAGATAAACTGAAGCTCAGAGGTAAATATCTTGATAACTATGTGAAACATAATAATGGTAGGATATGGGTGTATTGGGATGAAAATTTAGTGGATATCCAGGAGGTCAAGTGCACGACTCAGTTAATCCATTGTAAGGTGTCTGATGCAGCTGGAAAATTTGTGCAGTAGTTGACTGCTATCTATGGTTTTAACTATCTTGAGTAGCACAAAGATTTATGGCATGATCTAGAAGTTATTAACAAAACTCAACAGAGTCCCTGATTCTTAATTGGGGACTTCAACAATGTCCTGAAAGCTGGTGACAGGATTGAGGGCAAAATGGTGTATGAGAAAGAGTTCAAGGATATGTGTACCATGATGGACAACACTGGGCTTGATGAAAATGGATAACAAAGGGGATTACTACACCTGGAGTAATAAGCAAAATGAGAGCATTATTTATTCAAGGATTGACAGGCTCCTTTGTAATAGTGACTGGTTTAGAAACAACTTGGATCTCAGCCTTATTAACATGACACCGGGGATCTCAAACCATGCCATGCTTGTCTGAAAGATGATAGTGTTCCTATTAAGAGGAAGGCCAAATTCAAGTATGCAAACTGTGTGAGTGCCATGGATAATTTCACTGAATCTGTTGCTAACAGCTGGAATTCTACTAGAAGGGGAGGTCCACCTATGAAAATGTTATGACATAAGCTCAAGAGGCTTCAAACGGTGATTAAAAAGCTGAGTAAACCTTTGAATGGCATTAAAGAGAAGCTGCATGAGGCTAGAGAGAAGCTCAATCATGCTCAGTTGGAGCTAACTCTAGACATATTGAACAAAGAAAAAAATAGACAGAACCAAGGACTGCACTGAAGAAGTCATTAAGTGGAGTGAAATGGAAGAGCAGATGTTGTAGCAGAGAGCCAAAATCCGCTGGCTTAGGCTTAGAAATGGCAATAATGCCTATTTCCACGCCTCTCTCAAATCCAAGTACAACCAAACATCCATTAAGAAGTTGTATAAGAATGATGGGAATTTTGTTACCACTCAAAAAGAGATTGAGGAAGAAATTATGCGGTTCTATGGTGATCTCATGGGGATAAAGGAGCCTAATTTGGACAGTGTGGATATTAATATCATGAGAAAAGGCAGCCAGGTGAACATTGACCAAAGGAAGTATCTGATTGGTAATATTACTAATGAGGAGATTATTAAAGCGCTCAAGAGCATTGGGAATCTTAAGGCTCCTGGGATTGATGGATACGGGGCGAAATTTTTCAAGGATGTCTGGAGCATCATTAAAAGTGATTTTAAAGATGCTATTAGAGAGTTCTTTGAAAAAAGTAAGTTGTATGAGCCCATCAACACCAACTTGGTTATTCTTATTCCCAAAATCCAGGAGGCTAAGTATGCTCGTGACTAAAGAACGATCTCGTGATGCACAACGATATACAAAGTTATCTCAAAGGTGTTAACTACCAGGATGAGTAGAGTCATTAAGAGTATTGTTCATCAGAGTCAAGCGACTTTTGTTTCAGGACAAAAAATCCATGACCAAATCCTACTTGCTTATGAGTTAATTCAGGGGTACAATCGTAAAGGAGGTACACCGAGGTGTATGCTTCAGTTAGATATCCAGAAAGCGTATGATACAATTGACTAAAAGGCGCTAGAGCTCATCATGAAAGAGGTTGGCATTCCTAAACAGTTCATTAGTTGGGTGATGAAGATGGTGACCATAATGAATTACAAATTTGTGGTGAATGGGGGAGTATATGCATAGTCTGAAAGCGAAACGAGGCCTTCGACAGGGAGATCCACTCTCTCCATTGTTGTTTGTCATTGTCATGGACTATTTGCACAAATTCTTCCAAGATTTAAGGTATATCCCTGACTTTAACTTTCATGCTAAATGTGAGAAGTTAAATATCACTAGCCTCAGCTTCGTAGATGACGTTCTAATGTTTACTAGAGGGGATAAGACTTCGGTTGATTTACTTATGCATGCTTTCAAGAATTTTTCTAAATCTATTGGCCTTGTGATAAACCCTTCCAAGTGCAAAGTAAATTTTGGAGCAGTGGATAGTAGCATAAAAGAGGAGATCCAACACATCACTGTGTTTAAAGAGGGATCTCTCCCTTTTAGGTACCTGGGTGTTCCTCTCACAGGGAAAAAATCATCAGTTAACCATTATATGAGTTTAATTGATAAAATCGTTGCTAGAATTACTCATTGGAATGCCAAGTTACTTAGTCATGCAAGAAGGATTCAATTCATTCGAAGCACCAACTATGCTATAACTAATTACTGGATGACATGCTTCCCATTCCCAAAGAAATTGATTCAGAAAATCAATGCCAACTGTCAATCGTTTCTCTAGACTGATGGAACTACTATTTCTAGGAAATCCCCCATCTCTTGGAAACAGGTTTGTGCCCCTAAGAATCAAGGAGGTCTTAACTTGATTAATCTGGAAATCTAGAATACAGTTACCATGATGAAGCTGCTGTGGAATGTGTGCAGTAAGAAGGACAATTTATGGATTAAATGGATAAACTGCTATTATACGAAAAATTGCGACGTGATGTCAATTGGAATAAAAGATTCGTGCTCGTGGATTCTAAAAGGAATTATGAAGCAAATACATAAGGCCCAATCTCTTAATAGTTGGAAGATCTTGTTGCAAAAGGACATGTTTATGTTGAAGATGCTGTACAACGAGCTGCGGGGTGTTTCCAGCAAAGTCCCTTGAAGGAAACTTTAGTTCTCCAACTTGGCCAGACCCCGTGCGCAATTTGTGTTATGGACTGTCTGTCATGGCAGACTTGCCACTAAGGTTAAGTTGAGGAAGTTTGGGTTACTTAGTGATAACAAGTGTAAGTTTTGTGATAAACTTGAAACAATTGACTATCTCCTGTTTGATTGCACTGAAATGAAGGAAGTTTGAAGTCAAATTTTAAAGTGGCAATGGATTAACCATCATCCAAAGAAGTGAATTGAGGAGCTTAGTTGGATGATGCTGCAAGCTAAGGAAAGGGTCATAAAGCAACTTTACTCAAAACAGCTTTTACCGAGACTGTTTATGAGTTTTGGAAATATATAAATATGTGAGTTTTGGGGGTATAATTAATAATATACACATAGGAAAAAAGATTATGGGTAGTATATTTTATAGAAGTTGGTCTCATAAAAAGATGAGAGAGTACATTGCTAGGATTTTGATTTCTTAGTTTGTTGGGTTGTTGGGCTAAATGAAACACACAAGATAGTGTAAATGTAAATAGAAAGAGAAGAAAGAAAATAATGTTTGTGGACATGAGATATCTAATGTTGGTTTTGAAAGAGAGTGTGGAAAATTAAACTGATATTATGAGTATCATATTTATTTAACGATACTATTTTATAAATTATAATATAAATTAATTTTATTAGGATGATTAGTAATATATTTATGTATTTTATTAGTTTAATTTAATATATAATTCAATCATGATTTAACCAATTAAACCGATTAAATTTTGACCCACACATTTTAACAGTTCTTTCTCCAATTCGGTTTTAAGAAATTGGTTTACATAGAGTTAAATTAAAATTAAAAAGAAATATGAAATGGAATTGAAAATTGTGTTTGGAAGACACGTGGCCTTATCCAATTGAATTTTACCTTTTGTTTGAGTTGAGAAATGTAGTCCATCTTCTCCAATAACGAAAATGGCTAGTTCAATCTCACCATGGTCCTCTCCCATTGCTATAACTTGTTCCAACACACGAAACCGTCGCTATCGTTTACCCACACGCACTAAAACTAAACCTCCTCCAAACCCTAAACTCAACACCAAGCATACATCTCCGCCTGAACCGCTACTCCTCTCAGCCGCCGAACCCACCACCTACATCCGTCTCCCTCTCAAAGAAGACTATTCCTCGTCCTTCTCTCCTTCCTCCCCCGAAATCAAACTCTCCGAATCAGCACCAATTCACCAATTTCTCCACAAAGATGAAATTGAATATGATGGTGAAGAGATCAATGGTAATTTCGATGGAATTCAGGAATCTGAGTCTGAAGATGAGGAAGAAGTTATGTTTATGGATGATGAGAATGAGGAGATTAATGACGAATTTTGGAGTGAGGAAACGGAGGATGAGGTGAAGGAGAAAGGGTTACCGGCGGTTATGAGATGTTTTGACCGGGCAAAGATATATGTAAGGGCCGGAGACGGAGGGAACGGATCAATGGCATTCCGGCGCGAGAAATATGTGCCGTTTGGAGGGCCGTCCGGAGGGGATGGAGGGAGAGGTGGTAATGTGTATTTGGAAGTTGATAGAGCAATGAGTTCGTTGTTACCGTTTCGGAATGGGATTCATTTTCGGGCTGGGAGAGGGTTACATGGGCAAGGAAGGAAGATGATTGGTGCTAAGGGGGAAGATGTGGTGGTCAAGGTGCCTCCTGGGACGGTGGTTAGAGAGGCTGGGAGTGATGTGGTGCTGTTGGAGATGGTGTATCATGGACAGAAAGCGTTGTTGTTGCCGGGTGGTAGAGGTGGGAGAGGGAATGCTGCTTTTAAGTCTGGGAATAATAAAGCTCCTAAGATTGCGGAGAATGGTGAAGAAGGTCATGAAATGTATGTGAGTGAGTTCTCATTTCTGCTTTGTTGTCAATGATAACATACTTATTCACCATATCTTTGAAGCAACTTTTAAAATCGGAACGTGATGGTTCAATCGGCTGAAATGTGAACCGGCATTGTATACAATTTTGATTGCATGGGTTTATCCCGATTCGTGTAGTTTAAAGTAGTTGGACCGTGATTTAGAGGTCTTGCTGGATTAATGTTTAGTTTGTTTTTTTGAAACATTTCTTTGAAAGGTGTTTTTGGGAATTGGATATGTGTAGGAAAGTCAATGCGACTTTATTGTATTTTATGAGAAACTTAGAAATGTTTGAGAGAAAGGAAACTTAAGATGAGAGTGAGATAGAGAGTAATATAGGAAAGCTTATAGAGATAGTGACGATGACTTTCCTGCCATAAAGATAGTGATGATCCGTATCAGTATTTTTGATTGCGTGAGGTGAGTTGGTGATGCACTGTGAGTGGCATTACAAGTTAGCATATGGTTGGATTTCTCTTTTCCAGTTTTGTTCATCTAAAATTGTATTTGAGAGTTAAATGTCCATCATGGATGGAGGAGATGCATGGTCATGGCTAAAACAATACTTGTTTTTGTTTGGAAGAGAAACTAGTTTATATTTGCTTGAGATTGATGGGGTCATGAAAGAAAATATAGAGTGTTTCTTTTGTTTTCCTGAATCTGGGTTGAGTTTCAAATTATAAGAGTAAGAATGCTGGTTTCTTTTGAGCAGGTGGTTGGAGTTAGAACTCAAACTGGTTGCAGATGTTGGAATAGTTGGCGCTCCAAATGCAGGAAAAAGTACACTTTTAAGTGTTGTTAGTGCTGCAAAGCCAGAGGTGGGAAATTATCCCTTTACAACGCTACTTCCCAATCTGGGTGTTGTTTCTTTTGACTACGATTCAAATATGGTAGTGGCAGACCTTCCGGGTCTTCTCGAAGGAGCTCACCGAGGTTTTGGCTTAGGTCACGAATTTCTGAGACACACTGAAAGGTGCTCTGCACTGGTAAGTACTTTTGATCAACATGTTATAACCATATTTATTCTGTCTTATGATGTTAGGCATTAAGGCTACATGTATAGCTTACATTTAGAATCTCAATTCTCACAATTCTCACTAGTCCTAGTGGGGAAGAAAACAAAAAGAGGGTTTAATTATTAGTATGTTCTTAGCTTTCCTTTTTCCTAAAAAACATTCTAAACTTCATTACCCTTCTTAATTTCCGAGACACTTAAAATACATAACTTAGGCCACTGCAACCTTTTGATCTAACAGCCTAGTGTCAGTTGTGTTTAAAATGAGTAAAGCTTATTTACTTATTTGAACTTTTTGAGTCTGTTACCATTTGATATCTTACCATATTTTTACTTCTTTTTCTGTCTAACTGTTATACCTCTCCAGACTCCAAATTAATCAATTAGTAGATGTAAACCCAGCCCACTCAGAATGTCTTTATGTTGAATTTCATCCGCAGTTCATCCAAAAATTTAATTTCTCAATCCGCCCCTCTACATGCTAAAAATACACTACCCGAAGCGTGCTCCCGACAGTGTATTTTCAGATAAAGACACTTCCAGAAGCATGCTTTCGGAAACAGTTGAGGGGTGCTCTGAGAAATTATCATCTGAAAATTCTTTGTTCTAGGGGTTTTGTTGATTGAAAACATTGACATAGTGTGTACCTATTTAGATTAGGCTTTAACGGTTATACACTGACATGTGTAAATTTTTTTACAGCAATCATCTAATAAAAACTCATTATATTGGCATGTAAACCTAGATAATGACAGTTTTTTTAAAAATAACTATCAAACACTCAATTTGTATTGGACATCGTCAGTGTCAAGCTAGTTTAGAGTGACAATGCGTCTCTTTCTTTTCTTTAGATTATGAGTATGATTTTATTTTGTTTTTTCTGTATGTACCTCTGGTATTGGTAACCATGCTATTTCAAAGTATGAGATTTTGATATTTCTGTCTTCTCTTTCATTTCCTCACCCTGAAATTTGCCGTTTAAAATAAGTCTTTACATTGGATTTCAGATACACGTTGTTGATGGTTCATCACCACAGCCAGATCTTGAGTTTGACGCAGTTCGTCTAGAGCTGAAGCTATTTAATCCTGAACTTGCTGAGAAGCCTTTTATAGTTGTTTATAACAAAATGGATCTTCCAGAAGCATATGAAAACTGGGAATCCTTCAAGGAAAAGTTGGAATCTCGTGGGATCACACCTTTTTGTATGAGCGCTGTCAAAAGGGAAGGTACTCATGAAATTATCTGTGTTGCTTATGAGCTTTGGCGTAAAAATACAGAAGACAAGGAGGAATATGAAGGTTATACTTTGTTTTATGCGTATTCTATAAATTATTGTCACATTACCTGAATAACGATTTTGCATTTGGACAATATGACCTGTTTCAGATGGACAAGATATGGTAGACATGAATCATATAGCTCATGCAGTACAGAAACAACGGAGTGCATCCATTAGTGAGTTTGAGATTTTTCATGATAGAGGTTCAAATGTTTGGAGTGTAGTTGGATCTGGATTGCAACGTTTTGTTCAGATGACAAATTGGCGGTAGGTTAAATAGTAAAATTGAGATTAAGAATATATGTCCGTTTTTACAGTAAGAGTACATGTCCTTTTCTAGAGTAAGAATCTGAATACTTGTCCTTAGCATGTTTATTTCCAACATTTTGTTATTTTTATTTTTATTACATGTTAAACATACTTTACTAATTGAGGTCTAACATTCAATCACATTTAATTTAACAAGTAGTGTTGAAATAATTATCCGGCATTTATTCTATATTTGTCTACAAAACTATTTATGACCAGGGTAAGCCATTTTCTCAGCCAAAACCAAAAAATATCTTGGTATTGTAGGAAACTTGTTGAAAATATTCTGTAACTTCAGATCATGTTTACTCCAATGAGAATGGCGCTCCTTTATAGGAGAAGAGTACATCAAGACATTCAAACATTTCAACAAAACTTCATCAAAGAACCTTTCTATACTTAAAAAAATTGAACTGTTCTAGAACAGCGTGAAAAACATATGAAGGCTGGAAGCCCCATCCTCTTCTTATATACTTGATACATGTCGGTAAAAAAGTGTATTAGGACTAGAATTATACTTGAAATTGCAACACCATTTATGGACAGTCTCATGGAAAGTAGTGAATCTTTTTTACAGGTATGTTGATTCAGAGAAAAGATTCCAAAATGTTCTTGAGGCTTGTGGTGTGTTTAAGTCTCTCGTGAAACTTGGTGTAAAGGAAGGCGACAAAGTGATGATTGGAGAGGTACGTTTTCATTTTTCTTCAGCATTTCTGTTCATTGTAATTCTTGTGGTGTGTTTGGTTTATTGAATGGAATTTAGTTGTCAGTTACCGCTTCAAATTCACTTGAAAGTTGAAACTATGTTTCCTTAAAGGTAGAACACTATTAATAGTACTTTCTATGACCTCGAGAGTTAACCTAGAAACATCAGCAATAACTATAAGATGGGGGGACAAAGCTTATTTTGGAACAATATATTGTGTAGTCATATTCAAAGCTCTACAATAGTGTCATTCCATAATTCATACCGAGTGACCAATTGTTCTTCTATGTATCAGATGGAGATGATATGGCATGACTCCTCAAACAAAACCAGTGCATCAAAGATGAAGATATCCACAGATTCAATTAAGTGGCCTGAACAGAAGTAATGCCACTCTATCTGGGTGCTTCTAGATCCATGTTGCAACTAAACGATAGGTAAGCAGAACATTATTCTTATAACGATTTTATCCTTTGCTATCTCAACAAAATCTGTCAATAATCTAACTAAATATAACAGCGTTTATAATAGCCTCGTTTGATCCATATAGCCGACCTCATATAGTGAGACATGGCTCGATTGTTGTTGTTTTTGTCGCTGTATTATATATAAAGGCATTAGTGCATATAACAACCAAATGGAGAAGTGAAACCCGAAAGCTTTTTATTTTGTTCTCTAATCTATCCTGATAATTTATTGCTATAATCATTACTATTTCTTTTTAATTTATTAGTGTGAATTAATCATCAGTGGCCATGCTGTAGTATTTGACAATAGTTTCAACCATTTAAAATTTAGCTATTTGTCAAGTATCAAGATTTTCAATTAGGATTATTGAAATTTATGTTTATTGTTGATGAGCTGCAGTTCATGTAGGAAGCAAGTTTGGTCAAAATGTGATGATATAGACACGAGGGCAAAAGTTGTGAAAAGCTGCCTCGAGAAGCACAACGTTAAATCATACAAATTACAAACTTGTTCTTGATAGAATGATCCTAGTTGCATTCACAATTTTTCAAATTCTTTTATTTGCCAGGAAGCTGAGGTCTTCAACTGCGCACAATTGAGTTAAGCAAGATACAGTTGTAATCGTAAGGGTGTATTATTTGTAACCAAAGGAAGAGAATCTAGTTTCTTGTGTAACTTATGATGGTGTGTTGTAACAATTTTGTTATTAGGTGTAAGATGTCCCATATTGTCTCATCATTATATTTTTACAGGATGCTCTTATGTAGGTTGCATAGTTCGGTGAATTTTGAGTTTCACCTGAAATCATTGTATAAGTGTTCTATTTTACCTCGAGTTTCACCTGAAATCATTGTATAAGTGTTCTATTTTACCTCGAGTTTCTAATGTATCTGAATAGAGATGACAATTATGCTAAATTATTGAAGGATGTAGTTGAGATTGAAGCTTGTTCTCACCTTTTAAGAAATGAAATAAAGAGATTTGACGGTATCCATCTTGAAGTCACTAAGCTACTAACGAAGTTGATGAAATTAACAGGATACAAAGTTTGATCAATGATGCATATTAAAACGATGATATTGAATTGGAGAAAAAAAAGCTCAATTTCTGTTAGATGAAGCATGGCATATGCAAGACTAGTTTTGTAGGAACAAGGTACGGAATAATTGATTTAAAGATGAAGATAGGAACGCAAATTTTTTCACTAACACAATCAAATTGAGATATGGTACACAAACGAAATCACTGGACAGAGATATGGTAATATTTTTTTGAGGACATTGAATTAAATAATTATGTCATTAACTTCTATAAAAAATTGCTTGTTTAGAAAACAACCGCAGTTATATTGATGTGATGGAAAGATCTATCCTACAATTTATAACTCACTCGGATAATAAATATTTCACTAGAATGTCTCAGTCGGAAATTAAGGATGCAGTGTACAATATAAATGATAATATTTCTCTAGCCTCTAGGTTCTGGAGACTATGAAAGTAGTTTTTCCAAGTTTATTGGATATAATAGGGATTGATGTGATTCATTAAGTGAATCAATTTTTTGAACAAAGTTGAGTCCTTTTCTAATCTCAATTCATTCAATGTGATTTTGATACCTAAAGAACATAAAATATAGATCACGCACTTGCAAATTTTCAATTCAAAATCATCACTAAGATCATGGCAAACATGTTGAACATCTTAACTCCTAAAATTGTTTCAAAGCATCAAAGATACTTCGTTAGGAACACACATATTTATGAGTGTATTGGACTTACTTAACAAGCCTTTAATATGTTGAATAAAAAATTCTTTTGATGTAATATGACTTTGAAGATAGACTTCATAAAAGCCTTTCATACCTTAAATTAGAAATATCTTATTAAAGTTCTTGTTTAATTTGGTTTTGATCAAAAAATTTGTGATTGAATTCTTACCATTCTACACCCAGTTAAACTATCAATCACGCTGAATGGAAAAACTGCATGATTTTTTTCTTGCTCTAGAGGAGTGAGGCAATGAGATCCTGAGTCTCACTTGCTCTTTTGTATTGCTGAAGAGGTATTTAGTAGACAATTATCCATGTTGATGGATCATGGTAAATTGACATACATATCAGTTGATAAGACAACATTTTAACCATACTTTTTTTTACAAATAATTTTATGATACTTTGCAAAGTTACCTGTAAAAATGTTCGAGTCATTAATTATCTCCTTTTGATAGTTTATATATATACTTAATGTTAAACAATATAATTGATTATAGATGAGTCTGAATCTTGGAAAATTAGAAATTAAAAAGTATAACAGTTATAAGTTATTTCTTCTGTTTTTATTTTTAGAAAAAAATATGAAAATTAATATTCAAAATTGATATTTTTAAAAGATAAACTCTAAGATACACGCGAATTTTGGTTGAGTATTAATATTTTTAAGCAAAGTTTAATTCACTTTTTAATATTTTAAAAATAAATTATTATAAAAAATAGCATTTAATAATTGTCAACCAAACTCAATTTGAAAGTTTCTCAATTTCTAGTGCCTACAAATATCTTAGTTCGGAAGCTCAGGTAACTGTTACTAATAATGCTTGGAGGAATATTTGGGATCTAAAAGTTCCTGAAAGAGTCCAATCTTCGTCTGGATGACTAAACATGAGAGAATCCTGACAAATGTCTTTTTTCTTTAGTTGCAAACTTCAGGAGTGGATTGTTGGAAATTTATCCATTAAGTTCTGCGCAGTGGAACTCAATCTAACGATATAACTGTGGGCTACCACTTGCCATTCCCCGTGGCATTGGAAGAATCTTCAGAAGCACAGTGATCTTTTTGTCATGCATAATAACCTTCCTCATCTGATAACTAACCGAGTTAAGGAATACTTCGGGAGCGTCACTTTTTCTCGTAGTATAGTTGAGAAGAACCAGGAGGTAAAGAATATCAGTTGGAACCCTTCTCCTAGTGACTACATTTGCGTTAATGTAGAGGGTGCAGTCAACAATTCCCTTAAGGTAGCATATGGAGGTCTTCTAAGGGATCACAATGGGGTGTGGTGTGGTGGTTTCTTCAAGCATATTGGATCATGTAGCATAGAGGTAGCTGAAACGTGGGGGATTTTAGCAAGTATCGCTTTTGCAGTCAACAAAGGGTACATAAGGCTTGTTCTTCAGTCAGACAACAAGCTAGTAATTGATAGAAGACACTTTTGACTCCTCTATATTGATTTTCCTAATATTTTAGTCCCCTATAAAAAATTCAACTATTAGGTCCTCTAATATCAAATAACGCGATGGTCACTGGTCATTTGTCATATTTTTTAATGACATGACACCTCAAGATTTGTCCAGTTATTTGACACGTCATTAAAATCAATTTATCATTCATTTTTAATTTGAAATTTGAAATTTTATTTTTCAAAAACATTTTAATTAATATTGTGGATTAAAAAATCATTACTTACCTCCAACAAAATTAAGTTCACCATTCTCACTTACCACCGACAAAATTACTTCCACCATTTTCTTTTGTTCATCACCTTCGTACGAAACCCTAAAATTGTAAAGTTTCAGAATCGAAGAAAGTCCTTAGCAAAAACGAAGACGACAAGTTCTGGCGTTGCAATGTATCAAGAATCCAAGACACACGAAGATGACAAATTCTGTTTCAGGTATGAATTTCTATGTCTGTGTATGTGGTCCCAATGTGTTCTAACCCTAATTGTTTTATCCTAATTGTTGATTATGGTCCCAATGTCTGCAAACCTCAATTATTTAATCTAAAACCCTAACTCTAAAATGTATTATACAGACCACCCACTGAACAAAAAGTTAGGCTAAGAATTCACCATCGGGGTACACTTGTTTACACTCCTGTTAAATAATATCTGGATGGGGATGTAACATAAATGACTTGGGCATGGGATGTTGATTATATGTCTTATATAAAGCTAGAGAAATTGATTTATGAGGTGGTATATACAAGTATGAAGTGATTTTGGTATGTAAATTCTAGGTTTAGCTTTGCTAGGGGTCTTACACCTATAGAAAATGATAAGAATGTCCTAAAATTTGCTAAAGATGTTGAGGGATTTGAGTTGGTTGATGTCTATGTTGAGCATGGTGTTGATATCCCTGATATAGTAGATGAGGCAGAGTTAGGACATGAATGACCTATTTATGATAATGATGATTTTGAGATAGATAATGTTGCCGAAAGTTATAAAATTGGCGAGGGTGATAAAACAGGTGAGGGTGATACAATTGATGAGTGTGATAATCTTGGTGAGGCTGATAATCTAGCTGAGGGTGATAATCTGGCTGAGGGTGATAATGATAATGATGATGTTGAGATTGAGTATGATAATGATAATGCTTATCCTATTAACTTGATGTATTAATGTGATTATCTTATCAGAGGGGACTTGTTCCAGCTGTTCAAGGTATAAGTGAACATGTTGAGCAGAGGCTATGTGTAAAACATCTGTATGAAAATTGAAAGAAGAAGTTTTCTGGGGTGGAAATCGGAAGATAGAGCCATACATGTTGGTGGGAACAAAAAGGCAAAGACTAAGGACAAGTCAACTTCGAAGACCAAGACAACTTCAAAGACCAAAACTACTACAAAGGACAAGGGCAAGACTAAAGACAAGACAAAGACTAAGGCAAAAACAAAGACTAAGGCAAAGACTATTGCTGTAACTAAAATTGGCACATCACCTCAGGGTCCATCTGTTACACAACCAACTCAAGAATAGTTCTAGGACATGATAAATATGTTATGTTTTTTTTTTTGTAAATTCATGAACAAGTTTATGTCATGAACTTATGTTATATTATTTTGGTATTCTCTCGAACAAGTTTATATGTCATGAACAAGCTAATGATGATGTTATTTTATGTATGTATAATGTTAACTTGCTA